GCTAATGATTTATGTGGATTTACCTTATATCATGCTACTTTGCTAAAATGATTAATTGCTTCAACTAACTTTTTAGTTGAATCTTTGGGATTTTCCACGTACATCTTCAGAGAGGATTCTGGGAAAATGGCAGAGTAGGTTGGAAAACTTTTGGCTCTCCAAATTTCCTCCACAGAAAAAGACAGCACATTGCCTTAGAGGGAATGTAGAGCAGCAGAAACAAACAAAAGTCAGGGTAAAGTAATTGCTCTCCTCAGACAATCTAAGAAGACCCCAGGAAAGATCTGACCTCCTGGAGCAGAGGTTGCTCTTGAGTGAAGTGCAGACACCTCTAGGCCAACTCTGCCATATCAATAAACAACAAGGCCTGGGGGCAGCTGGAGTTGAGAAGCAGTCTCAGCCTTAGAAACTTTTATCTCACCAACAGTGTGGGGGTCTGATGGCTGAGTAGAAGATTGAAAGACCTTCAACTGTTGAGGGACACCAAGCACAGCTGTGCTGATCAGACACATCACCAGTTGAGCTGCTGTCCCCAGGGAGAAGGAGCTAGCACATACCTGGTGAGTGCAGTAGCAGAAGAGCGGGGACCCTGCTGGCTATAGGCACCTGCAAGACAGCAGAGTCCCTGGCTTTACTTCCAGGGAAGAGAGGACAGCTGTAGTTTGCAGCCACAGGAGGAAGTGCAAGAAGTAAGATCATGACAGGGGGCTCTAGTAGTGACTTAGGAATGGAAAGGAGAGCCCAAGCTTGGGCTCCAGGACAGACTTCAGTAATAACAATAAGAATGACCTGAGGCTTGGGGCATCATCCCCCATACCTCTGGACTAGAGCTTGATCACATTAATAGCAGCTAAAAACAAACAAACAAACAAATAAATAAATATGAGTAAGCAAAGGACAAAGAACCCAACCATAGATACCTACTATGGGAATAGAGATCTGGGTTCATATTCAGAGGAAGATAATGGAGCTTAAAAAAAAAGCCACTCCTTTTTCAATGAGAAACATCACATGATCCCAGCACAAAAAAAGAGATTTCTTAGAAGACCTTAGAAAGGACTTTCAAAAAATCAAGTATATCTTCATGTCATCTGCAAAAAGAGATGGTTTTATCACTTCATGCCCTGTTGTGAATTCTTCTGTTTCTTTTTCTTCTCTTACTGCTATTGCAAGGATTTCCAATACAATATTGAATAACATTGATGACAATAGGCATCCTTGTTTCACATAATCTTACTGGGAAGGCACCCAGTTTATCCCTATTACAAATAATGCTTGCTGATGGTTTTTAGATAAATGCTTTTTATCAATTTAAGGAAAAATCCATTTATGCCAATACTTTCAAGTGTTTTTTAATAGAATTGAGTGTTGTACTTTATCAAAAGCTTTTTTTTAATCTATTGATATAATCATATGGTTTTTTTTTACTTTTATTATTGATATAATAAATTATGTTAATAGTTTTCCTTATGTTAAACCATCCCTGCATTCCTGGTATAAATCCCACCTGACTATAATAATATGTAATCTTTGTGATATATTTTTGTAATTTTTTAGCTAGTATTTTATTTAGGATTTCTGCATCCATATTCATTAATAAAATTGATCTATAATTTTTTCTGTTTTTACTCTTCCTGGTTGAAATATGATCATATTTGTTTCATGAAAGGAGTTTGGCAAGATCTCTTCTTTGCCTATCATTTCAAATAATTTACTTAATATTGGAATTAGTTAATCTTTAAATGTTTGATAGAGTCCACTTGTAAATTTATCTGGTCCTGATGCTTTTTTCTTAGGAAGCTTATTTATGACCTGTTCAAATTCTTTTTTCTAAACTAGGTCTATTTAGATATTCTGTTTCCTCTTCTGCTAATCTGGGCAGTTTATATCTTTATAAATATTCTGCCATTTCACTTAAATAGTATTGGCATATAATATAAAATGTATTGGCATATAATTGGGCAAAATAACTCCTTACAATTCCCTTAATTTCATCTTCATTAGTGGCATATTCACCCCTTTCATTTTTGAAACTACTGATTTGTTTTTCTTCTCTCTTTTAAAAAATCAATTAACCAATGGTTTATGTATTTTATTTGTTTTTCCTATGATCAACTCTTAGTTTATTAATTCAATGAGTTTTTTTACACTCAATTTTATTCATCCCACTTTTCATTTTTAGGATTTCCAATTTAATGTTTAATTGGGGATTTTTTAGTTCGTTCTTTTTCTAGGTTTTTTTTTTAATTGCATACCCAATTCATTGGTCTGCTCTTTCTCCATTTTACTGATGTAAGCATTTAGAGACATAAATTTTCTTCTGATTACTGCTTTTTCTCTGTCCCATAGGTTTTGATATGATCTTTCATCATTCTCTTTAATGAAATTATTGATTGTCTCTATGATTTATTCTTTAACCCACTCATTCTTAAGATTAGTTTGTTTAATCTCCAATTGGTTTTCAATCTATGTTTCCATGGTCTTTTATTAAATATAACTTTTATTGCTGATCTGAAAAGGATACTTTTGATATTTCTGCTTTTCTGCTTTAAAGTATAAAATTTTTATGTACTAATATATGGTCAGGGGACAGCTAGGTGATGCAGTGGATAGAGCACCAGGCCTGGAGTCAGGGGGACCTGAGTTCAAATCCAGCCTCAGACACAGTACTTACTAGCTGTGTGACCCTGGGCAAGTCACTTAACCCCAATTGCCTCACCAAAAAAGCAAATATTTGTGTGTGTATGTAGATAGATAGATAGATAGATAGATAGATAGATAGATAGATAGATAGATAGATAGATATAGATATAGATATAGATATAGATATAGATATAGATATAGATATAGATATAGATATAGATATAGATATAGATATAGATATACAGCTATTATTTTTAAAATATGAAGACATCAAAGACTTCAGAGCAAAACTTAGGCTATAGACACACACACGTGTGTGTGTGTGTGTGTGTGTGTGTGTGTGTGTGTGTATGTGTATGTATTCACTCTTTTCCCCTTCACCTTTTATATCTACAGTTACATCTTCAGTCCTAGACCATGAGAATTCCTGCCCAGAAAAATGATCCTAAGACTTTACTGGATTCTCTATCAGCAAAGCAACACTTTTTATTTCTTTTCAATTGAATCTAAAACAAAGGTAGAAGAAGAAGTTGAGCTATTTAAGTAGATTTTCATTGAGAGTTGGAACACTTTCCTGACTAATCTTCAATTAATGAGCTAAGTGCTTTTTTTGGAACTCCTAAATCACCCAAAGTATGTAAATTAATCTCCCGAACAAAATCTTTCTCAGTCTAACACTGAAGCCAAAATTTTTTCTTGGAGAAAATTGATCTACATACTGAAAAAAAAAATGCATGCATTTAGTTCTTTTATCAAAGCAAGCAGTGAAATAATTTCATAATGTAGATGCCAACATGATTTAATTAACACATTTAATTAATGTGTCTAATGCAAGCATTTACTCTGTATAGGTCTTGGGCTAGGTACTAGATAATCACAGAGAGTGATAAGATATATATATAGAGAGAGATAGATATAGATATATATCTATCTCTATATATATATGGAGAGAGAGAGAGAGAGAAATACAAATAAAGAGTAATATGAGGTCTGACAAGTAATATCTCTTTTGTGAATGGGAATACTAGGGGAGATGGGGAGAAGGTGACATTAGAGATCAATCTTGAAGAATGGTTAGGATTTCAACCATTAGATAAGATGGAGGAGGATAGCATAGGACTGGGTAACAAGCAAGTTGAACAGGGGAGGGTAAGCAGTCTAATTTGTCTATAACTGAGAGTGTATGAAAGAAGGGTAGTATGGAATAAGATTGGAAAGGGAAAGCAATACCAGATTTCAAGTGACTGAAATGTCAAAAGAACTAGTTTAGTCTTTATTCATTAAACAATACATTTGCTTTAGTGAGGATTCCTTTGGTGTATGGGTTGTATTAGACGGTGTTTACAGCCCCTTTCAACTCTCATATTCTGCAATGTTGTGAGTTACTGAAGAGTTTTGAGAAGAGGCACATGATCAAGCTTGTACACTTTCTACCTGTGTGACCTTCAGAAAGCCAGTCAGTTGATGAACATTTATTAAGTGCTATTCTATACTGTGCTAAAAGCTGGGGATATAAAGAAAGGCACAAAGCAGGCCTCCTTCTCCAGGAGCTCACTGTCTTAAGGGGGAGACCATATGCAAACAACTATGCACAAGCAAGATATATACAGGAGAAATTGGACATAATCAAAACAGAGAAGGCACTAGAATTAAAGGGGACCAGGAAAGGCTTCCTGGAGAAGGAAAGAGTTTAGCTTGGACTTGAAGGAAGCCATGGAAGCTAGGAGGCAGAGATGAGGAGGGAGAGCATTCCAGGCACAGGTAACAGCTAGTGAAAATGCCCCACGTAGGGCATTCAAGGAACAGCAAGGAGGCCAGTGTGACTGGATCACAGGGTACATGAGAGGCAGGGGTGGGGTACAACATGTAAGAAGACTGGAAAGGGAAGGGCACATTATGATGCGCTTCAAATGCCAACAGATGTTATATTTGATCATACATGTGCTTTAAGAAGTGCTCTTTGACAATATTGAGTGGAGGATGAATTGCAGTGGGGAGAGATTTGTGGAAGTAAGATCTCTTAAGCCCTCAGTTTCCTTAACCATAAAATGAGAAGAGTTGGCCTAGATGACTTAGAAAGTCCCTTCCATCTCTAAATCAATGACTCAATTATCTATGAGCATTGCAATAGCCTATATGGGTGATATCAGGGTAGTAGCTTTGGGAAGAAGGGAGGGGACAGATGGAGAGATATTTTGGAGGTCAAATGGACAGTTCAGAGCTTGGACAGTTCAGGTAAATGAGAAGGGGAAAGCTAGAGAAAATCCCAAAGTTTCAAATATCAAGGACTGGATAAATTTAGGTAGGAAAAAGTAAAGGCACATTTTGGGGGAAAGCTTGTGTGTAGTTTTGTTTTCATGACGAGTTTGCATTACTGGCAAGACATACAGCTAGAAATGTGCTATGGAAAACAGCAAATGTAGGTCTAGAGCTCTGGAGAGTTTGAGCTAGAGATCTAGAAGAGGGAGTTATCTACACAGAGAAGATTATTAAAATCATGGGAGTGGGTGGCATTGTCAAGGCAGGGGATGTAGAGAAAGAATAGGAGAGAGGTCACCATAGATGCCCAAAGTAGCTCACAGCTTCCCCTCAAACATGTTACTAGCACTACCAGATATCAAAACTATCATTTAATTTCCTAATTCTTATGAAAAGAAGTGAGAAAACTATTGACTTCTTTTAGATTCTCTTTGCCAAGTATTCTTCAGAAGGATAGGAGTTAAGAGCCATATATGTTTTCAAAAATTAGGGAAACCCATTTAGAAAAAATTCCATGATAGAGACACTGAGAAGGACCTCCTCCAATAATTACTAATCAGGCTTTTTGAGAAGTCAATATGGCAACTATGATGATAATAAAAACCAAGGCAAAGAACAAAAGACATAAGTGGATTTTGTTCTGGGAAGAAACCTCTTTTTGGGCCCTCAAAAATGCCTGGACAATACAGTTACCCTCAGCCTCTATTAGGTCCAATGTCTGCTTTTTGATTTGGAATTTCACTTTTTGCAGGTAGTTTTGGTAGCTTTCTTCAGACCCTGTATTGTTAAATCTCTGAAAGATCTCAGCATCAAGGTAAAGGGCATTGCTGTAATAATTGCCTCCATTCTCTTCCTCCATCCTCTGAATCATAATCATCAGCTCGGCCACCTGAGCCCTCTGTTCTTCCCCAGTGGCCTGGTTGTTGAAGGCACAGCATCTCCTGCCACACTCTCGGATCGCCCACTGTAGGTCTATGTTATCAGTATTTGTTACATAATCCTCTAAAGATCCCCCTAAATCTTCTTTCCGGGTAAAGAGCATAACTACATGCCTCATGGCTTCTACTCCAAAGATTTTTTTCACCTTCCTCATTGCCTCCTTATCTTTTGCAGTGTAGCGGCCAATCTGAGTCACCAAGACTAGTGCATGGGGACCTGGGGAAGAGAGAAGATAACACTCCCCAATATCCGCATACATCGGTTCCGTCCAGGCACTTGGCTCACAGATGGCAGGAGTGTCAATCACTGATATTCTTCTCCCATTCCACATCCCAGTTTCCAGCTGACACTTCTTAGTCACTGCCTGGGATCCTAGCTTGGACTCAAATATTCTCTGCCCAAGAAGAGTATTTCCTGTAGCACTTCTCCCAGCTCCTGTTTTTCCCACCAGGATGATCCTCAATGGCTCAGTGCTTTGACGGATGTCACAGCTTTCTGTAAGAGAAAATATTTCTCCAAAATGATGCATCCCAACAAGTCCCATCAGATCCCATCAAATATCTTTGGTTCTCTATAGATGCTTGTTTTAAACTATAAGCATTTGGAAAGTAGGAGCCAGGACTATCTTCAGATTTCTCTCTATTATGGTGGAAAGCCTAGTAACTTGCACAGTTAGATACATAACTAAATACTTTTAGAAGGTGAGGTGAGATCAGGTATGACAATCAATCAACACTGTACTTTTCATGTCCCCTTTCCTGCCTAGCCATTATATTTGGGTCCTTCTCATTCTCCAAGAGTCAGGGCACATGGTAGGCAATGAATGAGTGAGTGAAAAGGATGGATAAAGGGATTATCAAAGTGTTTCTAGAGACCTCAATGGACCAATGTTCTGATCACTGCTCTCCACCCAAGGGTGCCCACCTGGGATTTTCCTCCTCAGCATTATCCCATGAGATCACTCCCCTTCATTATTTTTTTCCCTATCCTAGGTCTTATCTCTTTTGGGCCCTCCTCTCTGTCTTCCATAGTGATAATTAGGTACCTAAGAGATTATCATTTGCTAAGGTCTTATTTATTTATTGAGTAATTCATTCTATTCCATTATATTCCATTCAACAAACATTTACAGAGCAGCACTATATACACGGTCCAGTGTGGAGTTCTGGGTGAGATATGGTTTAATAAGAATCCAAGCCTTCAATGGTACCTCTTGTGATGCCTCTCAAGAGATTACTAACAAAGTGCTATGAGAGTTCAGAGACTCTAGAGGTTATTGCTATCTTGGGTCAGAGAAGACTTTATGAAGGAAGAGTCACATTTGATTCCTACCTTAGAAGGTGGGTAGGATTTTACCCCTTTGGAGGCATTTACATTTTGATGAGTATCCTTGCCTTAGCTCAAAGGAATAAATTTCAAACATGCTGGCAGGCCAGAGACATATTTATGGGCAGATGGAAACTTTCTTCTGAGATTGTCAGACTACACCATACAGGGGGTCACCTTCTCTGCCTATACTCTATTTCTATGACTGCAGCTGATCATTCACAAGGGAAAAGATGGTGCACACCCCAGTTCCACTGTTTCTATGCCTCTCAGGAGGACACTGAGACTAACACACTGTCTCCTTACCCACATCAACATCGCCATCGTTTGATTTCTTCATCTTCTGTATTCCTTTCTAAAAAAGGGGAGGGGGAGAGATGAAAAAGTACTCATTACACAGCATATTAGACCTAGAAAGAATCTTTGAAACCACCTAATCCAATCCATTCACTTAATACAGAAGGAATTGTAGCATTCAGTTTGGGAATAATTATTCCAACGGAATAATTCTCACTGTTGAAAAATATGGAGGTTAATTTTCAGGGTAAAATCAAGCAGATGAGCTCAGAGGACATAATTCAACATCACTTTTGTTCTCATCAGGAGGACTATTTAATCAAAACTTTTGCTTATCTTCCCCTCTCCCTAGAGAAGGTGAGAACCTGAGAAGGCAGTTTGCCTGTGGTTAGTTCTTTTTGTAGTAGGGGAAATGGTCAGTAAGCAAGGATTTTTTTAAGTGACTACTACAGATTGGACTGAGGTAGAAGATGAACATAGAACAACAGGCATCCCAGTGACTCCTCTGGATGTAGATGAAAGCTTTACACAGTTGCATTTCTTTGGATCATTTGAAGTGTTGAGAATTCCTAGAAGACAGTGAAAGTAAAATATATTCCCCAAAGACAAATAGGAATGATTTTTGGATCTGTGCAGATTGGGCTGCAAGGGAAGGTAAGTGAAGATGGTGAAACTACCCAAGATAGTGGCTCTTATTGGCCAGGGTCCAGCATAGGGGTATATGTTGGGACTGATGATGCTGAAAGTGAAGCAAGGGGCATGGAAGAAGGATGTCTAAAACTTTGATGCCTCCACAATTTTTCCAAAAATCAGCCCTACTAAGTAGAGAGCTGGGGCTAGGAAAAGGCAAAATAGGCAGTTGCCTAAGAAAGGATAAGGGACAGGACTGCTGATAGACAAGAGCCTCATTATAATTTCTTAAAATAAATTCATGTATGTTTGTGCTAGAAAATTCCATTCTCTGTGGCCATAGGCTTTTATATTATAATATGCCAAGGGACATGTTTTACAGTGAAGAGTCAAAGTATACAGTGAATAGTGAGACATAAAGATTATTGTTTTCATAACTTGCCTTGAGAGCATAGGTGACTTTTCGTAATTCCTTTGACAGCTTGTCTTAACCCTTCAGGCATGTTCCATACCTCTTATTTGTCAAATTTAAAGATGTGAGATATTTATGAGTGATGGAGGAATTCACCAGACTCTCAAAAATACCCAGGGATACATTGTTAGTATTTACCTCCAGAGTTTGTCCAAGGGACTGGTAGTCGACCATTTCTTCTAAGAGTAAGAACTATAAACCAATGTTCTCTGAAAATCAAACACAAGTAGAAAGAGCTTTCAAAAAAGAGAAAAAATTCTTGAATCATAACTATATTACCCCATTTTTACTAGTGTCTCCTGGTCATTCTCTTTAAAGACATCTCTGCTTCTCCATCTCCATTGTCAAAACTTCAGCACAGGTTCTCATCACCTCACACCTTGTGCCTTCATGTTACTGCTAGCCAACCCAAGACTTAGCATTGTCCTGGGACCAGGATATCTTGGAAGGAGTGCAGGATTGAATAACTGACTGTCTGACCCATATAGCAGCAGTATCAGCCAGTTTGGACCTGTGTCTCAAATAAAGATGACATTTCACCTTGGTTTTCTGATCACCTCTTCCCACTCCCTCTCAAAGAGAATTCTTCTGCATGTCCTTCCACAAGTAAAAAAAAAAATGACTCATAATCTTCTACTCCAATTCTAGCTCCTAACATAATGATAGTTTTGAATACTGTCCATGACTTGAGGCCCAAAATCACCATGACATTTTAAAATCCTTTGTCTCTTTCAATTCCATTGTTATTTTCTTGCAAATAGAGCTTTTCAATGGAATGGTTTGAAAAGTACTGAATTCCCTGTCACTGGAAATGGCCAACTAGAAGTTGGATGACCATCTATGAAATGGGTTGCAGAAGTGATTCCTACATTGTGTAGGACATTGGATAAGGTGAACTCAGTACCTTCCAACTCTTAAGATCTGATGATTATAATTGGATGCAACCTGCTCATTATAAAATCAAGAAAAGGTAATTACCTCTATGGCTTTATATGAGAGAATAATTAAGGCTTCCCTTGTCCCATAATATAGTTCCTCTACTGGCCTGATGTGGTATCTAAAATCTTTGTTTTGGGAGCTCTTTCTTTAAGTCAGGACACTGTCATCAGATGATCTCTGTTAAAAATATGAGCAAGGGAAGTTCATTAAAAAGTATAACATGCTGATAGACTGGTGGGGCTCATTATGGATGGGTGATACTGCCAACAATAGATAACAGTGGCATGTGCCCTGAATTTGGAGTCAGAAAGCTGAGGTTTCTGTCTTGACTCTGCTACTTCTTGGCTCTGCAGGCTTTGACAGTTCACTATGCCTCACTGGCCCCCAGTTTCCTCATCTGTAAAATAAGAGGATTGGATGACATGTTCTCTAAGGGTTCCTTTCAGGTCTAAAGCTTTGCTCAGTTAAGATCATTTGTTGATGTTCATAGCTCTATCCTAATGTCCTTTAAGAGGGTTACAAAAAAGAAGGATAAGAAAAGGGATGTTTCTTTATCATAAATAGAAAAAGAGGTACAATGGCAGACTGCCCCACAAGGCCCTAGTCCTTAGTGCTTGCACATGATTCCCTACCTGGTTTCACCCAACACATGTACCTATAGGGAGACTTCTTCTGGCCATGGGTAAATGAGGGACTGGTGCCTTGCGGTGATAAAGTCTCATGGGTGTCTGAGGAAATGGCAGGACTAAGGACTGAACAGAGGTTGAGCCTGAGCTGAGTAGTCTCACACAAGGCCCTTCATGCACTTCTCTCTGCCCAGCCATGTCTGAGCAAGGAGGAGCTGCTATGGGCCTCCAGGTGGGGAAGGGGAGCAGCTTCGGCTACCTCATTCCTCACCCAGACGCCATGTATCCCTGAGGGTAGGACACCTATTCCTTTTCTGCTTGCTCTTTTCTGATCTTCAGTGTATGAGTATTCTGAGAGGGGAGCACCTAGAAGACCAGGGAGACCAGAAAATTCATCAAACCCTCTGAGGTTTCATCTACCACTGCAGTCTAGAGTCAGTGGCAGCAACGATTGAGTGCAGTGAGGAACCATGGCAGCCAATGAGAAACCTGATGAATCCAGTCTAGCAATGGAGTGACTGGGCAGCTAGGACAATAAGCCCTGCAAGGAGCTAATGAGGGAGTGATTCATCCATCAGCTATGTCATACCCCAAAGTGAACTTGGTGAGGACCCTTTGGAGGGAGAACAGGACTCTCAGAACCAGGGGGCACCCTCAGGGAGGGTGCAGAAGGGTGCTTCTTAAGCAGGTGCCTCTGTGCTTCAGGTTTGAGCCTAGTATTCTCAGGGACCAAGTGTGTGCAGAGGGTTGGGGGAGTGGGAGGGACATTTTTGCCATTTCAGGCCTTGCTCTACCTTCTTGGTAAATATCCTTTGGAAAAACCTAGCTGATATCATCTGGTTAACTGATATGTGAGTGAGTGAGACACACCAAATTGGAACTCATAAGTAATAGTATGAGAAACCTCAATCCCTCAAGATTACTCCTGGAAATCTGAGGTGAGAGAAGTTGTCAACCTCCCCCTGAGGGCCCTGCCTGTGAGTTTCAGCAGAGATTTGGAGAGAAGAGGCCAGACACAGGGAGCTACACAGGCAAAAGGTAAGAAATTGTTATGTGATTTCCATCTGCACCTTCCCCCATCTTCCTCACCTTCCTTCTTTGCTAACTGAAATAACTTTCAATTTGTGAGGCTCCTGGCTGTGCTAAGAGGATGTGGTTATAGGGAATAACAGCTCAGTCACAGTTCAGTTTCAAACATTTATAATTCTACCTCTGTTCCAAAAGGGTCTTCTCCCTACAGTGGACTTAATCAGTGGATATCTGCCTTGCTTATTCTAATTCCTCTCTCTCTCTCTCTCTCTCTCTCTCTCTCTCTCTCTCTCTCTCTCTCTCTCTCTCTACACACACACACACACACACACACACACACACACACACACACACACACACACACACACACGCGCACTTCATTGTCTCCAGCCTGGTCAAATCTTTTTTCAGCTATGCATAGTAATAGTAACAAAACAACTAACTTTCATTTGTGAAGTCCTCTATGCATTTCAAAGTACACTCATCCATTCTCCTTTGATCTTCACAGATTCCTTGAGGAGTAGGCAGGTAATCCTCAATTGACAGATGAGAAACTGAGGAGCAAAGAAGACCAGCAACTGTCCAAAATCATACAGAGAGAGAGAGAGAGAATGGCAGCAGCAGGGACCAGAGCATAGGTTTCTAGACTTTTGATGAGACCCTAAAAACAAGGTGATTCCTCTTGACCGGAGAAGCCCGGGAATACCTGCCTCTTTGCTAGCAGTCTGAGGTCAAAACTTGCCTCCCCAGTAGCCTGTCTCTGCAAGTGCTATCTGTTTAGCAGAACAAGAGCACTGAGAACAGCAACCCCTGATATGGGTCCGTGATCCAAGGTGGGTGGGGAAGAAAGGGAGGGGAAACTGAAATGCTAACCAGGAAACATTTGCTCTTCCTGCACCTCAGCTGGGCTGCATTAAGGAGGAGAAGCTCCTAAGTTTCTGGTTTCCAGAGAGAGGGGATGAAAGAAATAAGAGAATGTGATAGAGACACTCCCTCCTCTCCTTCAAGTTAGACTCTCAGTGAGGTCTTCAGTCAGGAGAGAGGGAGAAATCAGAACCTCAAAGGGACCCAGAAAATACTCCTCTGCCACCTTAACAAAGTTCCCCTATTTCTTTTTTAATCACTGTTGTTCAAATGACCCTTGGAAAGGTAAGGGCTAGCTATGTCTAGGGAGGGTGCAGGAGGGGACACTAGGATTTCTTTTCAGGAGTGTTGTCTTGAAGGTTGAGAGGCCATTCTGTGAAATAGGGACCATCTCAAGAAACCTATGAAGTCAATGAAGTTTGTCTTTGATAGGATCCAAATCTCAACTCCAATGGCCCTGCTTCTGTCTCCACTACCATCCTATATTCCTTTCCTCGGGGCTCTACTCTCAGTTGGCTATGAATTTAATTCAGCAACATTTATCAAGCCTCTACTATGTTTAAGTCACCCTGAGAGGCACTGGGAATATAAAGACTACCCCTTTTCCCCCACCCCTGAGAGAAGGAGAGAAGAGAAAAGGAGAGGGGGAGAGGGAGAGAGAAAGGGAAAGAAAAAGTTGATAGAAAGAGAGAGAGAGAAAGAGAGAAGAGGAGGGGAGGAGAGCAGAAGAAGAGAGAGGGAGGGGGAGAGAAAGAGAGAGAGAGAGAGAGAGAGAGAGAGAGAGAGAGAGAGAGAGAGAGAGAGAGAGAGAGAGAGAGAGAGAGAAGAAGGAGGTGGAAGAGGAGGAGGACTGAGAGAAGGAGAGAACTTGACCTGGAAAAGCTTATATTCTAGTGCAAACAGAAGAATTAAAAGTAGGCAGATGGTGTAACTAGTAAAAGCACTGGACCCAAAGTCCAGACCTGATGTGAAATCTCACCTCAGATATTTATAAGGTGTGTGACCTTGGGCAAGTTATTTAACCTCTCTCAGTCTTTAATTCCTCATCTTAAACTGAGGATAATAATTCCTAATGACAATAATAATATATATGTAATCAAACATTTGCCAGAAGAATTTAATATAAAGATTTCCCAAAAAATTCAAACTTTTTTTTTCTGACTCTAGATGTATAGATTTTATTTGGGTAAAAACTTTTAAATTTTCTATAATTGAGGTTGCCTGCTTTGTTGTTTTGTGATTTTTTTATCCTTTGATGCTTACATATTTTTCCTGCCTGTACCATGAAAGAAATAGCCTTCTAGTGTCTTCCTATTTTTGTGGCATTTTTTTAATGTTTAGATTTTTATCTAATTGCTGCTGGGGAGTGGAGCCAAGATGGCTGAGGAAATTGAACTTTTCTCCTGAGCTTTCTCTACCCAACCTTCTAAATAACTTTTTTTAAATGACTCAAATCAAATTCTGAATGAGATAATACTTATATGAAAAAAAATTTTTTAAAGATCACAGTATCTCATTTTTCCAGCCCGGGACAGCTTAGAAGGATGGAAAAGAGAGATCTGCAGTTGCTAGGATGTAGGCTGGCTGGGAGCTGAAGAAAGTAGCACTTGCTATGGGGCCTGGATGTGACAGCAGTGGTAGCACCAAAAGCACTCAATGTGTAAGGACAGTAAGGGGGCTCAACACCTGATCAGGAAGATGCTACAGGAGCCCCCTGTGCTAACAATACTCAGC